AGTGTGGTTGCCAGTTTGTGTCCAGGCTCTCACTGTAAGTGAGACCCTCAACCCCGGGCTGGGCGTGCTATTCACTAGGATGCTCAGGGCCTGGAGTGATGACTCTCCCAGTCTGTAATTGTAGGTGGTGGTGTGTTGGATAGAAGGCCAGGGTTCTCCAAGGTGGCCCCCTGGGGCAAATGTGAATGCCACCCCAATCTGCTGTACCTTCCTTCTGCAGATCACACACCCTTCCTGACCCACTGTGTGATTTTGACCATAAAGGGCCTTCAATGTGTAATTTGAGGTGAGTGGGTGGAGTGTCAGAAGTATGAGAAGAAGAAGTAAAACACCTGAAGCAGAGTGAAGCTCCACCCTTACTGCCTGTTGACTCATTCTTTTCGCCTTTTGTGGCCTCCCATCATATCCTGTCCTGTGGAGGTATCCCAGAGTTCTGATCTTCTCGAGGAGGGGGCCATCCTAGTGGAAGGTGGGTCCCAGGGCAGCCTGGCTGTCCAGCCTCACTTCATCTGGGCCTGTCCCTGGAGGTGGCTTGGGAGGCTTTGACATGGGGGGTGCAGATGGGGGGGCTGGCATCCTTGATCCCTCAGGGGTAGAGGCCAGGCTCTATCTTGCATGGAAGAAATACTGTTCCTCACATAACACATATCTCGCCTCTGCACCTAAAGGTGAATGTGGGTCACTGCTGCTAAAAATCAGAAGCAGGATGGGCATGATGGCACACATCTGTCATCCAAGAGACCATGGAGGCTAAAGCAGGAGGATGGCAAGTTTAAGGCCAGCCTTAGTAACTTAGTAAGACTCCTTTTCAGAAACGACTGGGGATGTAGTTCAGTGGTAGAGCACCCCTGGGTTCAATCTTCAGTACCAAAAAAAAAGAAGAAGAAGAAGAAGAGAGCAGATCTTACCTGAGTGTGAGTGTATGCATTGGATAAGGCTAATTTGTAGCGAGGAAACATGCACCTGGCCCTTCTAGCACTGCTGACTGTGCCTTCCAGTGGGAAAGGAGTTGCCTTATTGGGAAACCAGCCTTGCCCTCCTTCCCAGGCCCAGGACTGGCAGCTCCCAGACTGTGAGCAACGCAGGATCTCAGGCAGACACACACCAAAGGCTGGCGGTTTCTTGCCTCTGGGCTAGAGTGATGCCTTCTTGTCTCACTGTTGATCTATGAGAGCGGTGGAGAAGACCCAGACTTGCGTCTAGATTCACACTCTGTTGATAGGATATGAGGGTGGCAAGGGGCACTGGCTTTTGCTTGGCTCTTCGGGYCCGGGTGGACTGCCCACTATACAGTGCTGTGCAGTGTGGCTGTGACTAGGAGGTTGGGGCATAACTCTGCACATACTGCTGTGCTGATGGGAGGCTGGTGTAAGCAGCAGTGCGGAGGACTCCACGGAGTATCCCAAGGAAAGCCAGCCAGGGAGGGGAGCTCCGGAGTGACAGTGCAGCATTCTAGAACAGGAAGGCTAGCTGCTGGTGACAGACAGTGGCATGGCTGGAGTAGCAAACAGATGAACTCTAAGGGGTGCAAAGAGTCTGAGGCACAGGCCTTCTGGCAGTGGCTGTGAGCGTGCTGTCCCTTGTTTGTCTATGGCTCAGGAACTCTAGCTTTAGAGGCAGTTTTCTTGTGCTCATTTGTCTGGTGGCTAGGTGTAGGGCCTGAGGGCTATGTTCCTGAAGGCTGGCTGGGAAGGGTGGTTCTGTTCCCTGTGTCTGTGGCACACCCCTTTCCTCTGACTGTGCCTCTGCAGGGGTGGAGTGCAGAGGGCTTTGGCTTCTGTTACTCTGCCAGGATACCCTCCCCCTCCTGGGATGCTGCCCACTCTGCTGTCGGGGTATTTGGCAGCCTAGGAGCAGGTGTGTACTTCCTGTCTGCAACTGTACTATGGGCACCTCCTGCTCAGGGGACTCTTCTATCCCTGGGGAGTTTGGCAGGAGAAGGTTGACAAGCCAGCCTGCAGGGGACCTGGTCCACATGGTCCGCCAAGCCCCACCAGGCAACTGCCTGTTGAGTGCTCCTGAGTGGCTTCCTGAGACAGCTCAGGAAGGACCAGTCTGGAAAGCCACCAAGTAGAAGGAAGCTTTCACTCAGGGATGAGAGCCAACACAAATGGCCTTGCTGAGCCACGGTGTGATCAGTAAACACTCAGAGGACACTGGGCTAGAATGTCCCTGCAGGGAGGCCACTGATTGGGGCACGTTGCCCTGGGTGGTGAGGTACAACTCCCTGTGGACCCGTTTCATGCGTTTTCACCTGGCTCTTGCTCCTGTGGTCCAGCAGGGAACACATACCGACTCAAGCTACACCCTCAATTCTTCATTTTGGGAGGCTAGAGGGGGCATCCATGGTCTGTGCTAGGGTCCTTCCCTATACCAGCAAGCATTGGAGGTGGGGATTGGTAGAGGCTGGGCCCTCACCTGAAATCAGGTGTGTCTAGGCTCAGGCAGAGCTGGACTGAGCTGAGGTGATGCTCAGGCAAAGGACTGGAGACTAGTGGTGGCCTGCAGGCCCCAGCACATCTGCCCCATGACTAATGGACTCTTTTCTCACCTGGAGAGCTGGAGGATGTCGCCAGGAGCCAACAATTCTGGGTGTGGAATTAGTGCTGTTTGAGTTGGGTCTCTGGGAGGCAGTAGCCTGGGGACTTATGGGTGGGAGCACCCCATCAACTTCATGGAGGTTCTGTTTCCAGGTGCTGGGGTGATGATTGGGCCAGCAGAAGCATTCCCTGGAGCAGGTGGGAGAGTCCTGTGTCTTGGGTGGACATCACAATTTCCATACCCAAGTGTCAGCCATTCCTGTTCCTGGGACAGTGTCCTTTCTGTGCAGCAGTCCAGCCGAGAGATCAGGACACTGTCCAAGTCTCACAGCCCCCGAGACTGCCTTGCCTCTTATCACTTGAGTTTGGGGACCTGCTGCTTAGCCATGCTGTTGCCTCTCCAGGGCTACATCCTACCCAACCCCATGATCTAGGCTCTCTGTGGGAACCAACCTGAGCTCCATGTAAGAAGTCATCCTGTGCTCCCTGGTTTGATTTTTGTGCTCCAGGGACACAGCTCTCTGAGCAGCTGGCTTATGCTCCATGGGTATGCTTAAGGGATATGTGGGGGAGACAGCTTATCACACATTGTGGGTGAGTAGACTTTGGAGTGGGACATTGTCCTTGGACAGTGGCCTGAGGAGCCATCTGTTTGGATTGTGACTGGGCCCGGGCAGACATCGGACAGAGTTGAGAAGGGTTTGGGTGGGTACACATTGGGCTACTGTGTAATCTGTGATCCACTGTGTACACAGGGCTGAGCCCCAGGACACAGGCCACTTCTTCATCATGGACTTACTGAGGTGTGGGGATGATCCATATTTGGCAGCAAGTGGAACCTATTCCTGGTCTTGGGCACCAGGGCCTCACTGAGAAGCCAGCTCTTCATGTGGCAGGTGGGAGGGGAGTGCTGTGTGCCAAAGTCTCTGCAGTGAACCACAGTGGAGTGGGTACCAAGTAGGGGTGGGCAGAACCGATGGGGTGGCAGGCCCACACTGAGGCCTGGGTGAGTAGGGGAAGGAACGGGGCTAAAAATGCCCAGTGGCCACAGAAGTGATTGTTGGAGGGGGTTTTGCAGGAAATGTGGGATTTGGGATAGGTCTGGTGTTTTGGCTTGTGCTTGTTGCTCCGGCACCATGTTGAGGAGGCCATCTTTGTTGGATGGCATTTGCATTTCTGTCAAAAGTCAGTTGAACATGTTTGTGTGGACCCCACTGAGTATATTTTGAGGACTACAGTGAGCCTAGCTGTGCCACCTGGCAGTGTGGTTGCCACACACAAGCTTCCTCTGCAGCTCCCAGCTGCTGTCAAAGTGGGTCCTGCAGTACAGGTAACACCCCCTTACCTGTCATTGGCCACAGCAAGCTTTGTCACATTAGCTCAGTGGTGCATGTATTTTCAGAGGCCAGAGCTGTCAGCAGTGCTGGTGGTCTGCACTGAGAACCAGTGCAGTTGTCCAGGAGTTTAGAAGGAAAGCAGGTGGCTGGCACCCCCCTGGCTTTCTTTCCTTCCTCCCATCTGAGTGTCCCTCCTCTCTCCCTCCTCCTCTGACCACGTTGCTCACTACACAGGGAAGCCTGATCTCCACTGGGTTGTCTGCACTTGCCTCCTTGTCATCTTGTAGAAGAGCTCTCATGTATATGGAAGGCACTTCTGTTGGGTGGGTTGGGAGGCCGTGTCAGAGACAGGTATGTGGAAGGCTTGATCCTGCTGGAGTGGCCAGGTGGTGTTGACAGGAGAGAGTGGAGGCAGGGTGGGGGCCTGCAGTGGGGACTTCTCTCTCTCACTTGAGCTTTTCTTTTTGACTAAATGAATGTTTATAGAAAGTTACCAAAGTTTGATATTCTTAGTGGCAGTAGCTATACCTAAAAATAGTTGAGCACTTAACCTGGGAAAGTGGCAACAATGGTGTCATTGGGAATAGCTCATCTTGATACTCARTAAAGAATGTGGTCCTGAAGGTTGGCACCTGTGGGGCTGCTCATGTCAGGGAGGGAGACTGACCCTGCATGCTGGAAGGCAGACCAGTGTCCTGGTTGCTTATGATCAACCCAGTTTGAGGCTGCTGAGGCCTGCCCTTCCCAGCCCATTGTTTCCTGCTCTGGAAATGCCCCAACCAGTGGACCTGGAGGCCAGGTGGGCTTTGTAGCCAATAGCATGGATGAAGGGCCAGCTCTATGCTCCTTCCATTTCTAGTTACCTGCATAGAAACCAAGCTCATGTGAGCATCTGTGCCTACTGAGACATCTTCCCAAAGCAGGGACAGGTGGAATGGTGCCCAGGCCTGGGCCCACTCATAGGGACTGGGGAGGGAGGGAGGGACACTAGCCTTCTCTGGTCTATTTTTCTTCCTAAACTGTTGACACTTCTAATTCGTATAGTAAGATATTCAGATAATTCTGGGGATGTGGACTTAAAGGGCACTACAGGCTGCCACTCATGTCCCCTCCTTGTTTGCAGGTATGGACCCTGGCGGGAGCCAGTGCACTCCTACTACGTCAGCTCCGGCTGCGCCCTGGCCCCCGCCGCCAGTGCCAACGACAGTGAGCAGCAAAGCCTGTCCAGCGATGCTGACACCCTGTCCCTCACAGACAGCAGTGTGTAAGTTGCACCCACACAGTGTGCTGCAGCCTAGCTTCAGGCTGCTGGCTCTGGGCTCTGCCCTGGCCTGGGTTTGGGCTTTGTCTCTAGTTGCCCCAAGTTGGCCTAGTGTAGCCAGGCACAGGTGGGCTACGCTGTGGGTGGCACCCCTAGAAACCTAGCTCAGGCTAGGACCCAAGTACACCATGCCTGAAGCTGCCTGGAGCCTTGACAGAGGAAGGTCCAGGGTTATGTGGAGGCAGACTGAAGGTTCTGTTTTCTCCTTAGCTGTGTAATCTGGTGTCTCAGTTGAAAGGTAGGCACAGACCAGCAGGCAGAGGAGCCTGCTGCAGAGTAGGAGTGCAGTCTCTGGGAGGCTGTGTGGCTGCAGAGACACCTCCTTGTTGACACTGCTCTGTACACCCTTGGTGTGGTATAGAATATTGTGTCAGGCGAGCTCTCCTGGGAGCTGTCAGTCTAGGGTGGCAGGGTGATGCAGCTTCAGGTGCTGAGCCCAGTTCCCCATGGTAAGGGGTGATCAGGTGAGCAGTCTGCCCACTGTGCCACAGCTTCATCTGAGCTTCTGCGTCTCCTGCTATCACAGTAAAGTCAGAAGCACATCCCTGCATTGTCACACTTCTGGGGAACCTGTGGGATGGGAATGTCCTGTGACTGTCCTCATCTCAGTGGTATGGGCCAGAGCTTAGACCCACAGCACGTTAGGAACAAGACAGATCAAAATTTATTTGTTGAAAAAATTGATAATAGTCAAAATTGGTGAAAACAATTAGTATTATAACATGATATTACCTAGAAAAAGCATATTTTCTTAAATTTGCAAATTTCCTTATTTGGAAAAAAAAAAAGAAAGAGACCAGATAAGAGCTATTCGGTGGATGCCCCATTTAACCTGGGGAGTGGTTTGAAGTCTCACCTTGGTCCCCCATGGATCTCACAGTGGCCAGCTTCCGGTCTGTTGCCATTTGCCCTCTCCCCACCAGGGATTGCTGGGGAGTGGGAGGGTGCTGAAGCCTGGGAACACCTGGCTTCCCTCCAGAAGCATCAAATATGGGAGAGTACCTGTGGTGTTGAGCCCAGTAGCCAGCCCTCACCCAGGAGTGCTCTTTCCAGGTGTCCCTCATCCCAGGTGTCCTATATAAAAAAAACACTCACCTGTCCAGACCCAAAGACTGACCTGAGAGACACAAGGTATAGCAAAAAGCGAGGCTTTACTGACGGTCTTGAGAGATCGGGTGTCTAGAGGAGGAGACTCCCCCCCTGGGGGGGGCAGTTATAACCAGCATTTTATTCCCTGGAGTGCAAGGTCCCTACTCTGGTTCCCCRTTTGCTGAGTATTATGGGGTGCACGGTCTTCCTGTAGCCTAGGTGTTTCTGTCTCCTGTTGGGTTATTTAAAGAAATGTACTTTAATTGCACCCACCTCCCCTGTTCTCTGGTGGTGGGAAAATCCCCTTGGACTGAGTGCACTTTGATCCTCTGCCCAGGCGCAGAGAGGCTCAGGGTCCTTGCTCACACACCTTTATTCTGTCCTCTTGGAGACGAGCCCGAGACCTTTCTGTGGTCAGAGTATTTAACAGGCCATCCCATCCAGTGTGGAGGGGCACCTACCCAGTCCTTCCTGTCACCAAAGACTGGTGGCAAGAGGAATGTGTGGCACTCCAGCATCTCAGTTGTCCTGTCTCCCGACTCTGGGGCTCCTTTGCATCATGCTGGCTCCAGCTGCTGCTGTGCCCAAGAAGCTTTGTAGCAGTGGGAAGTGTGCTTGGCAATGTGCAGGTGCTGAATCTGGTGGCTGTCCCATTCGAAGAGAGCCCTGCGGCTAGCTACCCTCATCCTGTAGTCCCAGAAGACCCTTGAGTGCCACTCAGATCTGTCTCTGCACTGGCCTGGAGGAGACAGTCCACAGTGCTGTGGAGGTCCAGCATTCAGCAGTCTTGGGGCATCTCAGCTGCTCCTTCTGTAGCCCTCACATGTTGTGGTCCGTTTGGCAGCCCCTTGCAGGCACATCATGGCCCTGGCCTAGGGACAAAGCAGGGTCTGCAGATGTTTCGGTGAAGAGCCAAGCCAGCAGTCACTAACTGAAGCTTTGCAACCACACACTGTCACCTATTCTAACCCTACCCTTCAGAAATCAGCTTCGAGCTGTAAAGCAAGCAAAGCTGAATTTTGTTGAAATGCTCAGTAAATACTAGCTGGAGGAACATACTGTGGCTAAGCTCCTGGGCTTTGCTATCATGTATGAATGTGTGTGTTATGCAAGTCTGTATGTGTGAGAGTACATCCATGCCTATGAGCATGCTTGTGCTGTCCTGTGTACGTAAGCACGTGGACTGCTGCACTCTGGTGGTTGTCGCCACCATCACTGATTGACTGGTGCTCTTTGGAGCCTTGTTTCCCCTGTGAGTTAACAGCTGCCATTTTTCTCTGCACAGGGATGGAGTCCCCCCATACCGGACCCGTAAGCAGCACCGTAGGGAGATGCAAGAGAGCATCCAAGTCAACGGGAGGGTACCTCTACCTCACATTCCTGTAAGTACAAGCCCCACCATGCTCCCTGTTCTCACTCAGAGTGGGGCCACAGGGGCAGACAAGCCGGAGAGGCAGGTGCCTGACTTCTTGGAGGCTCAGTCCCCTCCAGGCACCTGCTCTGACCTGGATGACTCTGGAGCAGCAGTGTTGCAAGCACCGTTTGCCTGAGCCCCAGGCTGGGGGCTGCACAGCTGTGCATGGTGGCAGGACCTGTCCTACACTTGGCTTCATGGTACTCTTTTCCTGTTGCTGTGAGCAAGATGCCCACTCGAGGGAGAGCAACTTGAAGCTTTCTTCATGACATGGAGCCCAGCTCTGGCCTTCTGCAGCCCCCTGACAGTTTCTGTGAAAGCTGGCACTGCTGTGCTCCAGGAGAACTCTGAGAATCAGCTTTTTTGAGGCTGAACAGTAGGCATCTCTGCTCAGACACCTTGACCACAAGGCTGCCTGAGCTTTGCCTCCTGGACCAAGTCACAGCGGCTCCTCAAGTGCTGGCAGCTACGAGCATTCACAGCCAATCTCCATTGGCAGAGTACCCTTGTCTGCAAATGGAGCAGTTGGCTTTCCTTACTCTGGCATACTGATGTTGAGCAGAAAGATGCTTTAGGGGAGATGAGGGAAGCTAGTGGTTGCACGTTGCCCCCGGGCTCTACAGTGGTGAAGGGGGAACCGAGCAGGTGTTCAGGAGTCTCACACATATTCAGGCTGCACTTCTTAGTTGTGTCTTTTAGCTTTGGGGGCAGAACCTTTAATTTCCAAATTAGGAAACCATGCTCTTGGTTGAGAAGAGAGATGCTTGCTTATTCTTTCTTCTGGGAGAAGAATGGGTGGGTAGCTGTGTTGTCTCCCTGCTGTCCACTTATAAAATCAGAGAATGCTGTAGGCTTTGTGTGTGCAGTGGTGTGTGTGTGCATCTGCACATGTCCTCAGGTGCCTGCCACTCATGCGTCTGGAGCAGCCTGGGCCTCAGCAGAGCAGACAGCCTGTTCCCAGCCAGGCCTCTCTGCAGGATATGTGTTTCTCAGCTCCTGTGCATAGCAGGAACACAGATGTGCTTAGGAGGTATCTACACTCAGACCAGGGCCCAAGTAGAGACCTGGAAGAGGAAAGGCGGCAAGAATAAGGGGGACATACCCTGTACTCAGGACTGGTGTGCCCCTGACCCCACCAGCACAGCAGCAGTCTAGGCATCAAGTCAGTGAAAGTAAATTACGGTTCATGAGTCCACACCAGCGTGATGGGAGTGGGTACCTCACAACACCCCCTGTGCATGGGGAGGACCTCTCAAGCCAGTGCTGGACCTGGCCAGAGGGGCCCTGTGAACACAGGGGAGTGAGATCGGCCAGAAGTTGCAGTGCCAGTGCAAGGTGAGGGCCTTCTGCACAGCAGTCAACCTCTGATTTTCAGAAGCCAAGCATTCTGGACACTAGGGGAGACTAAGGCCAAGGAGGCTTCAGGCGTGTTAGAAGGAAGGGAGGTCCTTGTGGCAGGAAATTTCAGCAAGACCAGGGTGTAGGGGACAGTGGGCAGCTGAGCCCTCTTGGATGCTCTCTCTGCCATTCGTGCCGCCTTGCTGAACCTTGACGATAAAAACTGTTTGATTGAGTGGGTGAGTTAAACATAAAATAGGAAGTGTTAAAAAAGCCTGAAGAGCACATTGGTGAGCTGGGTCCAGGCTTGAAGTACTCCTTCCAATGCAGCAGAGAAGGGCTAGAGGCTAGTCACTGGGAGCCTGTTCTGGGTGGGGAACACAGATCCCAGGTTCCCGATAATCACAGGAACTCAGGAAGACAGAACTGAGGAGGCGTGGGTGTTGGTAGGCCCAGAGCCCTGCCCTTTCCTCAACCCCACAGCCCTTGTGCTTGGGCCCTTTGCTGCAAGGTAGGGTGTGCTGCATCTTGCGGGAAGCAATGGTGTGAGGTTCCATCCATGAGCTCCTCCTTCAAGGACAGCTCTGGAGTAGATACCTCTTTCCTGTTGGGACCTGTCAGTCAGGGTGTGGCTGGCAACAGGTGGGWCTGGTCCCCTAGACAGTACCAACTTGGAATGGGGTGTCACCATGTGCTGCCCAGGAGCCTGTGCGCTCCCTTTCACTAGAGGAGCAATCTGCAGAGGCAGGGAGTCCAAGAATCTGGCTCAGGGCTTGCAGTAGGTGGGCCAACCAGGACCTGTGGCCTCCTGTTGGAACTGCAAACACCGTGTACCTGTCTGGGGGTCTGTTTTGTTCAGAAAGTGCCTTGTTCTGAGCCCAGCATGTCATGTTTCTCAGCCTTTGCTTGGGTTTCTTTCTCCCCTATACTACTTGGTCTCTCCTCTGGTCTTGTAGGTGAGACATGGGTATGCACGTCAGGGCTGTGCAGTGTCTGCTGCTGGGAGGGCAGGGGGGAAAGCACAGGCGACGCAGCCCCCTGCCCACATCTTCCCCACTTGGCCTTGAGCCACCATGACTAGAGGCCAGATTCTGCATGACCTCAGAGGGACAGCCATCTGCTGGCTGTCCTCAGGCCACCTCCCTTGTCCACCAGAGCCCCTCTCTGCTCCTAGCTTAGGAGGAGCTGGGTCCTTTCCAGCTTAGACCTTGGTGGCTTGAATTAGGTGTGGGTGTGAGTAGCGCTGGGAATGGAATCCAGGGCCTCACCCATGCTAGAAAAGCACATCACTGAGCTACATCCCCAGCCCTTTTTATTTTATTTTTGAGACAGGCTTTTGACAAGTTGTCCAGGCTGGCCTTGAACTTGCAGTCCTACTGCGCCATACTGGCTTGGAGTTTTAAATACGTTTTGTCACAGGGACATCATGGGATGGGTAAGATTGGCCTGAGCCCTATGTGACAGGAGTGCCTTTGCAGGGTCAGGCTGCTGCGTCCACAGCTGTCCTGTGCTCAGAGGTGGCATTTCCTTGCTTTTGCTCAGTGCACTCAAGCTAGTGCAGATGGATCTGTGGAGCGTGCAGGTTACTGGCCAGGCCAGCAGCTGTACGGTCGTGCAGGCCTACTGATGATCTTGCGGCTGTTTTAAGGTTCAAAATTATTTTAAGGTAAAGCCTCCCCAAAAGTTAAAAGCACTGTCACTATAAAACATTTCAGATTTACCTTCTTTTAGAAAGGAAAAATTCTGGGCTGGGATGTAGCTCAGTGGCAAAGCGTCTGCCTTGCATTCGCAAAGCCCTGGGTTCGACCCCCAGTTCCAAAAAAGACAAAAAAAAAAAAAGAACCCCACCAAGAAAGGAAAATTTCTTGAATTCCAGAGCTCTCCCTGTGCTCTGAGTTTTGTGCCTCCCATGCTTAAGCAGACCCCTGTGTCCACACTGATCCATGCACACTCGGGTATGGCACTACTGGCAGGCCTGTCATGGGTCCCTGCCAGACAGAGGCCCTGAAGGTGCCCTGGCACCACATACCCACCTTGGGCCTGCTGGCAGCCATGCCACATGGGTTATCTTTAGCCTCTCGTCCTTGGTGGCCTTGTGCACTGAGCCTTTGCATGCTCCCCTGGTGTCATGCCCTCAGTGCTTTCATGAGCACAGGCTGCAGGTGCTCGGCACAGGGCGCAGTGCTGGGTTCAGAGTGCTACAACCTGCTCATTCAGCCTCCAAGTCTGTCGTCCCTGGAGTCCCTACCTCTGGGCTGAGTGCAGATAAGGGCAGGGGCAATGGGAAAGTGTGCTGGAGTAAGAGGGAAAAAGAGCACTTGCTGTAGACAGAAACTGTCCTCAGCACACATGCTGCTGACCACAGAGGCAGAGGCCTCTGTGTGGGGCATGCTGCCTATGCCCATGTCTTCCTGCAGCGTACCTACCGAATGCCAAAGGAGATCCGCGTGGAGCCACACAAGTTTGCTGAGGAACTTATCCACCGCCTGGAGGCTGTCCAGCGCACGCGGGAGGCTGAGGAGAAGCTGGAGGAGCGGCTGAAGCGTGTGCGGATGGTGAGTGGGCTGTGCTCAGAGCTGCATCTGCACTGCCGTGTGTTCCCCGACTCGGATCCTTGAGGTCAGCCCAACCCCTGCTCCTCCTGGCACCGTGCTCCTCTGACCCTCTTGTCTGGCACTCTGCACCCTAGCAGCACCTTCTCACTCTCACAGGCCTAGGGGGCCATGTGGCCCTGTACTGGGAGGAGACCCTCAGGCTCCCAGCACCTGACAGACCAACCGGGTGGTGGGCCATGCAGCCCTTTGTGCTCTGCCCCATTGGTGGCCTGGGCCACCTGAGGCAGATAGCCAGTGCTGCAGACTCTTCATTCTGGCCTTCTCCTTCCTGTCAAGACCACCACGTGGGACTCACACCCTGGGCTTYTCTGTGCCACTCATAGAAAGGCCTCCTCTGCTCTCCTTGCAGTGTTTGGTGACCATAAATACTTTGAAAATGCCGGCATTCCTATTTATATGAGTTTCCATACCTGAAGTTCAAACTGTGATGTCTCTCTAAGGAATTATTTCTCCACCACTCCCTTGATGTCCTTATTTAACCTGTGGGCTCAGCCCCCCCAGGCCCTAACACCCCCAGCAGGCTTGCCTTCTCATTTCGCTCACTCACACTGCCCAGGTGAGCACACAGAAGAGCCAGCAGTGCTGGTCTGGGGACAAGTGATTGGGCAGATGCTCCTCATGTAGTATAGTAGGGAACAGACCTGGTTCCCTTGCCACTGAGACCAGCAGCAGTCGCCTTCCCCCCACCCCCACCCCGGGCAGCAGAGCATGAGTGTGAGAAGGTGCTGGTGGGGACTTCCCATATGCTAGTTAGCTCACCCTCTCCACATCCCTGGGGATGACTCAGTGGTTCCCCAAAGTTCAAGAATCTGCCTGAGGCCACCTGCCAGCAGCAGTGTACAGGCCTCACTGCCAGGAGGTTCTGGCAGACAGGAGTGAGATGCTGTCAGGTGAGCTGCTATTCACAGGAGCAGCTCTCTTGTCTGGACACTCTTTGATGTGGCCCAGGAGCCATGTCGCAGCTGGCATCTGGTGGCACTGATGGTGCTAAGTGTGCACACACTGGGCCAGCCCTCTGGGGGTGCCAGTGGAAGCCTCATTGGGTAGTTGAAGAGGAATGTACATAGCTTTGTCCCCAAACCCAAATATTTGGAGCAGCCTTAGCATGCAATCGGAGCTTCCAGTGGTGAGCCCTGGGTTTCTGTTGTGACCTTGTCAGTGTTTCAGTGTACACAGCAGTGTCTCAGACTTCATCCTCTGCTATGAGAATGGCCCTGGGCACATCACAGCTAGCTCTAGAAATGTGCTCAGGGCAGACCGGGAGAGTGCCACACTGAGCTCACACAGTGGGGCTGCTCAGCTACCTCAGCCCTGCCCACCCCCCAACTGGCCAGATGGGGTGGCTCTGCCCTAGGCAGGAGGACAGTGTGTACCAGCTCAGCAGGGCCTGGCCAGCTGCCCCATGGGAGCAGAACTACCTTCTCTGACTCAGAAAGAAGCATGTGTCTCCCTGATACCAACTGGGGGTGGGGGGTTCTGTAGGTAGATTCTTCCAGCTCAGGCTCCCCTCAAGCCATCACTGCCATGGGCTGCCTCCACTTCTGGGGATGGTACCTCTGCCAAGCAGTCCACAGTGATCCCAGTCTGCCCCATGCACTGTTCTCATTATGATGTAGATGGTAGTCCCTTTTATGAAGGAATAGTCTCATATCTTTAAAATGTATTTATAACCATATTATTAAAATAATTTTTTTAAATTTTTTTTAAAGAGAGAGAGAGAGAATTTTTTTGATATTTATTTTTTAGTTTTCGCAGACACAACATCTTTGTTTGTATGTGGTGCTGAGGATCGAACCCGGGCCGCACACATGCCAGGGGAGCGCGCTACCACTTGAGCCACATCCCCAGCCCTAAAATAAATTATTATCACTATAAAATTTTGAAAATAAAATAAAAACACCAAGAAGATAGTGAAACCATTAGCTGCAGTTAAATTAATCTAGTGTTCCAAACCCAACCAGGGTGGTGGGTGTGGCCCAGAGGTCAAGCTCTTGCCAGCATATTTGAGGACCTGGGTCTAGTCCCCAGCACCCACGATGAATAGACCCCAAGTTGGATCCTGCAGATGCAGAACCATTAGGACCACCTGACTGTCCTCAGGCATCTGGCCTTCCCCTCTTTCCTGCTGCCTTAGGAATAGTGGCATTGCCAGTCCAGAGAAACCCTTAGCTAAGAGCTGTCCCCCAGAGTTCCCAAGCCCCATAGGCAGACAGCATCCACTAGCTACGCTCTGTCCCACAGGTCCCACAGGTGCCAATCTACCAGCCACCCTGCATGTGCCTCAGCAGCTCTGGTACACGGGTCCTAACTGCTTCGATGCTTTTACATTTGTGAGGAATTTGGTGTTCAGTATCTTGAAATGTGTTTGTATTAAAGTGGGTTGTAAGTGGGTGCAGTGGCCGCCACGCCTGTGGTCCCAGCTGCAGGTTGTAAGTGGGTGCACTCCTGTGGTCCCAGCTGCAGGTTGTAAGTGGGTATAGTAGTGCGTGTCTGTAATCCCAGCTGCTCAGGAGCTGTCGTAGGACATATGTATGGCAGTAAAATTAAGGAATGGAAAAAAACAATAAAAAAAAAATTCTTTATTGAGAAACTTAGGAAAACTAAGTCCAGGAAGAGTTTTGTCAGTGGCTCCCCTCGGTGCTTATCCTCTTGCCACTGCCCTCAGCCTGCAGAATGGAGTCCGCAGGGTCCAAGGAGGCTCCAGGGCCCTTGAAGGCTTGAGCACGTGGTGTCCTGGAATTGGACATCTCTTCCTGGCTTGACCACATCCTGAGGGGGGACAGTGTCTCTTGACCTCTGAATCACACTTGCCAGTCCTTGCTCTCATTTGGTGCTCCGATGTGAGGTTTCTGGGTGCAACTGGTGCTGAAGGTGCTGCCTGTCCCCACAGGAGGAAGAAGGTGAGGAAGGAGACCTCCCCTCTGGGCCCCCGGGGCTGAATCACAAGCTGCCTCCTGCCCCAGCCTGGCACCACTTCCCACCCCGCTATGTGGATGTGGGCTGTGGCGGGCTGCGGGATGCCCATGAGGAGAACCCCGAAAGCATCCTGGACGAGCATGTGCAGCGGGTCATGAGGACACCTGGCTGCCAGTCCCCTGGGCCTGGCCACCGCTCCCCCGACAGTGGGCACATGGCAAAGATGGTGACATTGGGGGGTGCAGCTTTGGGCCATGGGAAGCACATGCCCAGGTCCGGGATGAAGCTGGATGTGGCTGGCCTGCACCACCACAGGCACGTTCATCACCACCTGCACCACGGCACATCCAGGCCCAAGGAGCAGCTGGAGGCCGAGGCTTCTCGCAGAGCCCAGAGCAGCTTCACATGGGGCCCAGAGCCTCACGGTCACGCAACCAAGTCCCGTGGTTGCTCAGAGAATACAGGCGCTATCCCCAACACTTGTGACCTGGCCTGTGGGTGAGTTCTGCACCACTGGCTGCTTTGGGAATGGCGGGGTCCTTGTCCTGTACATGATGGCGAGTGGCCAGCAGCAGGGCCAGGGTGCCAGGCTATCCCTGTGGAGGCCCGAGCTTCCCTAGAAAGTCATAGGAAACCTGGGCAGGAGCCAGGTGGGGTCCAGGCACAGGGTCAGGGTCTGGGTAAGGAGGGTCTGCTTGGCCCTGAGATAGGAACTGGAGGTGAGGGCTGCAGTCCACCATGTTTCTCCTGGTGGGTTGTGGGTGACCAGTATAGCTTCCCGTGGTGTGCTCAGGCAGCAGCAGACTGTTGTAGAGGTAGCCACCTTGCAGTGGGCACAGTGCCCTTCTGTGGAGTGTCAGGGGCTCAGAAGGTCATGGACAAGGTCAGGGCAACCCCCAGGTCTTGCTCTCACAGGGGAAAGGCAGGCGCAGCTTCCAAAAGGAGCTCCAAGAAGGTGGACCCTGGGAAGAGTGGCAGCACCGAGGTGCCGGGTCCTGCCGAGGACGCAGAGAAGAACCAGAAGATCATGCAGTGGATCATCGAGGGGGAGAAGGAGATCAGCAGGCACAGGAAGGCTGGCCATGGGTGAGTGCCCACAGCGCCGGCCCCCTCCCCAGAGCTAGCCAGCAGCCTCTCCCAGGGCACAGGAGCCCTCCTGCTCTGTGGAGGTTATTCCTGGCTTTGGGCCATAAGCCCTCCCCCAGAGGGGGCCAGCTCAGGACAGGAAAGCCAGCAGCCGTGGGAGATGCCATCTGCTCTCACTTGCTTGTTCCCAGCCTTGAGGACAGAGGCTGCTCTGGGGTGGTGTGGAGTGAGGGCCCCAGGGCCAGCACCACTCCCCTGTATCATCCCATGTCCCTTGTGTGTCCAATGCCACAGAGAGGTGTCAGCCCATACCTGGCCAGCACAGACCACCCTCTTGAGGACTTGGAGAGAGTAATGGGAGCCCTATCTGCCAGTGGGGCTTGGGATTGTCAGGGGAGGCAACTGTCCACCCCCTTTATTTGTTTGGGGCCACAGAGCCTGTCCCCAGGGTTTCAGGGAGCCCTGTCCAGCTCGGGCTAGGGTGTGGGCGGGCTTGTGGTTTCTCTCCAATGGTTTTTACAAAGGATGGTGGGCTGTGTCCCAAACATTTCCCCAAGAAAGGCAGTTTTTGTGGTTGAAGAGATAGTGTGCTTGGATAGCCCTTGGGGTAGGGGGGCTACCTTTAGTGTGGGCTGCTCCTGGCGAGTGCCATGGAGGCAGGTGAGCTAGGGCTGGGTGCCCTGGCCCTGTCTTGAGGGAGGTGCCCCTGCCTGAGGGGACAGCCCTCTCTGATGTCTCCCCCGTGGCCCAGAGACTGCTGTGTCTCTGCTGACTGTTCAAGGGTTCATTGGTGGGGTGTTGTGGATGGAGAACACATTCCCAGGGCACAGTGAAGGGAAGGCTGTGATTGTTAAATGGGAAAATCAGGGAAAACTACATGCGTACCTTCAGGCCAGCTATGTTATGTGCTTTTAGTGGGTAAGGGGATGTGTATGTACTGAGAGTGGCTATTTATAAATTAGGGTATTGTGAATTATTTAGTTTTTCTTTTAATTTCCTGTATATTCCAGGTTTTCCACCATGGACATTTTTTTTTTTTTTTTTTTTTGGTGGTGCTAAGGGTTGAACCCAAGGCCTTACGTTTGCTAAACAAGTGCTCTACCACTGAGCTATATGTGCCCAGTCCTGAAAACTTATTTTTATTTTTACTCTTTAAATTTTTGGTACTGGGGATTAAACCCAGGGTTTTAACCACTGGGCTATATCCCCCAACCCTCTTTTTATTTTTATTTTTTTGAGACAGGGTCTCTGTAAGTTGCTTAGGGCCTTGCTAATTTGGTGACTGGACTCAAATTTGCCATCCTCTTGCCTCTGTCTCCTGAGCAGCTGGAATTTCAGGCATGCACCATAAATAATTTCTTTTTAATTAACAATAGTATGTATAGTATATGGTGTATGGTTTTAAAGAGTTTGCATATATTGTATATGGTTCACATCTCAGTAAAGCTGCTAAAAATGAAGTTGAAAAACCCACGAGACAGGAATGTACCTGCTGAGTGCTAGGAGCTCACCAGCCCCTGAAGCTGGCTTCAAGCCTCAGCTGCTCCCGCCCAGTGCACTGGGACTGCCATGCTTGTCCTTGCTCCCCAAGGTCTTCGGGAGCGAGGAAGCAGCAGGTTCACGAGAGCTCCARGCCCTTGTCCGTCGAGCGCCCTGGGGCTGTGCACCCCTGGGTGAGTGCCCAGCTCCGCAATGCTGTACAGCCCTCACATCTCTTCATTCAAGACCCCACGATGCCTCCCAACCCGGCCCCCAACCCCTTGACCCAGCTGGAGGAGGCCCGCAGGCGTCTGGAAGAGGAGGAGAGAGCCAGCAAGCTGCCCTCCAAGCAGAGGTGGGTGCAGGCACTTGATCAGACAGCCTGCTGCCCCTCTGCTGAGGCTGCAGGTGGCCCTGCTGTGGGTCTAGGTGGGATACCGGATGTCGCCACTGCCCCTGGGGGAGGAGAGCCGGCGTGTTCTCTGGCACCTGTTCTGGTGGAGGCCACAGATCCCCAACTCAGCAGGGACAGGTGACCGTCAGCCGCTGGGTAATCTGGGCTCTCTGGTGGGCAGGACTGCAGCCAGCACTGAGGCCCAAGCGCCACACCTGCTGCCTGCCCCTTGAGGCAGCATCTCCCCTCTAGGGCAGCAGCATTTTCTCTCCAGGCGAGAATGCGCTTCTGACCCTTTGGCTGGAATTCCCAGTGGGTCAGGTCTCTGTGATACGTATAGATGTGTCCCTCACCAGGTCCTGGGCCATGGTCACAGAGGCCCCCGTTTCCCTGAGAAGTTACTGGCCCTTCACTGAGCATCTCGGGTCCTCCCAGCTGTGGGGCTGCCCTATTCTGGGCTGCCTAGAGGATAAGGCTGGGTTCAGCAGGCTTCCAGCCCATCTGCTACACTGGTGTCAGGTGACACTGCCCTGCCACAGACCTGTAACAGGCTCTGAGCCTGCACCCACTTCAGAGCCAGGTTGACAGTCACCTGAACCGAAGGGGCAGCCACATTGCTGTTAGCCTTCTTCACTCCTCCTCTTTGTAGAGACGTTCCCTCTTGGTGCTGAGATCCTATGCATGTCTGGTTGGAGCCTGCCCTAGTCTGGGTGGGGTGCTCTGGGAAGACACCTGCTGTGGTTTTCTCCTGACCTGGGACATCAGCTAATCCGCAGGAGCTGCCTCTGCTGTGCATTTTGGGGTGCAGTTCCCATGCCATGGTTCCATCTGGTGGCTCCAGCAACTCCAGGTTTAGGGAGAATTATCTGTCTGTCCAGGGGATGGGCTTTTTGCAAGCAGCTAGATATACGGAACAAAGCAGAGAAGGACGTGGCCTTGGGCCTTGTGAGCCCTGCCCAGGCTGGTCAGGGTGGAAATCGTTCTCAGGGCAGTTCAGCAGCCTATCCAGACATGGGGCCCTGCAGAAGGGCACTGTGACCCCAGGACAGGTCTCCCTCATAGGACCAGGGATCCCCCAGGGGCTCCAGATTGCGGAGTAGGGCCCCTGTGCTTCAGGGGAGGCTGCAGGTGGACTCTGCAGCACAGAGGGTCGTCCCTAAGGATGAAGCATAGCTTTAACTCCCAGATCAGTGCTCCCAAGTCATGTCTCAACTCAGAACTCAGAAACCTGGGGCTGTGCAYCCCTGGGTGAGTGCCCAGCTCTACAATGCTGTCCAGCCCCCGCATCTCTTCAAACGTGGTGCTCCAGACCCAACAGTCAGGCGCCCTGGTATGGAGTCCCCTCCACCTCCCACAAGCACATTCCCCTCCCCTTGCCCTTGCCCTTGGCCTTCTGTCTAGCAGYGCTGGCCGTGGTCCCCTCCCCAGTGACGTGGGTTGTTCTCTAGGTATGTGCAGGCGGTTATGCAGCGGGGACGCACCTGCGTCAGGCCAGCGTGCACACCTGTGCTGAGCGTGGTGCCAGCCGTGTCGGACTTGGAGCTCTCCGAGACAGAGTACGTGTGCCTGTAGGGTCCTCCACTGCCACCTACCCCAGCCAGTCTGGCACACCCCTGCCAGGTCGAGCAGCTGTTCTGGGCATGAGTCCAGGCACCATGTCTGAGGCAGTTCTGGAGAAGGGGGCACCAGCTCCCACCTTTCCTCCCATCCCTGTCTAGGAAGTCACTGCTGCCCTGTGGAGACAGGCCTGAAGGCTAGGGTGCGTCTGGGCCCGTGGCCTGTCCACACAGGCACTACCTCCTACTTTGTGCTTGCCTGTGCCCAGGCTGGGGTGCGTGGGGTCGCAGCCATGTCCCTTGAAATGGTACCAGGGGCTTTAGACAGGGCTCACTTGGTGTGGTTCATGGACAGTGTGACTGGCCAGAGCCAGGAATAGGACCTGCCCTGCTGCACATGGACATGGCCGACCTCCCCCTTCCTGGTTCCTGCTCCAGGCAGGCGTAGGGGGCTCACCCCAAAGAGGGGCGTAAGGATGGGATCCACTGTGTAAACAAGGGACTGCAGAGCCCCCGCTCCAGAGCACTCCTCACCTGCTCCTCCTGTCCCTGGAGAAGCATGTCCATTGGGGTGGCACTTCTCTAATGGCCTCCGTGAGCTCTGAGAGTACAGTACTGAGGGAAGGTCTAGAAACACAGGTGCCTGGGAGCTTGGTGTGCAAAAGAGTTACACTGCCAAGGTGGCCCGTTCACCTGGGGGCAGGGAGACAAGTGCCCGTTGTTGCCTTCCTGCCATGAGATTGGCTCTGGAAGCTACTGGTGTGCCCAGCTCAGGGACCCGAGGCCAGGCCCTGTTGTGCCTGAGCAGCTTCTGGGAGCACAAGGTCGTGACCTGCCTTCCCAGATCTAGCAGCCGTGTGGCACCTGCCAGGAAAGGGCCCACCTCCTGGGCAGGATGTTGTATTGGCCTCATCGGCCCTGAGGTTTAGCCAGCTGTAGCCAGTGGAAACTTTTGCTTTGAGGTCTGATTGCCCTGTCCTGGCCCTTCGGATATTTCAAGAGCTTCAGAACTTAGGTATTAGTTGGGTACTAGGGAGTGGCCACCTGGTTGTGGGGACAGCAAGTGCTCTGCCTGGCTACAGCAAGAAGCCGCGTGCCTACTTCATGTGGCGGGTGGGCACTACCTCCCACCAGGCAGCAGGACCTGTCCTGGTAGGCCACTGAGGACTGGCCAGGGTGACTTCCATGTGGGCAGGGTCTTTGCAGGTGTGGAGCTGCTGAGCGAGAGCCCCAGCTGCCCTGAGCAGGCACCAGCAGGCCCAGTAGCTGCTACTCTCTCCTGCAGGACGAGGGCGCAGCGGAGGGCGGGCAGCGGAAGTGCCCAGCCCTGCGACAGCATCGTTGTGGCCTACTACTTCTGCGGGGAGCCCATTCCCTACCGGACCCTGGTGCGGGGCCGCACAGTCACCCTGGGCCAGTTCAAGGACTTGCTGACCAAGAAGGGCAGCTACAGGTAAGAAGAGAATCTGGGGCCTTAGTGAGGTGCCGCTGTGCAGGAAGAGCTGCTTTCCCACCTCCTCCTGCCCTCATCTGCACCCTCAGCCTGCACCTCRTCAGCACTCCCAGTCCTGGGTGTTGCCTGCTGCTCCATCCTGGGCAGGTGGGGGAGTGGGTAGCATCAGGTCTGTGTCTAAAGGTGGGGGAACAGGCCCAAACAGGTCGGTGTATGTGCTGGGCTGACCTGGGCTCTAGCCTCACAATTCAGCTCCTCCTGCTGAGGCCTCCAGATCCCTGAGAAGGGCAGAGGGTGGAGAGGGCCCTGAAGGCCAACCTCAGAGTCGGGTGGAGGCTGCCAGGTCAGTCTCTGTCACCGAGTGGCTACGGGAAGAGCCCAGCTCTCCACGCCCGCCTGCTCCTCATCACAGCACCTGGGCCAGACCAGGGCTCCCAGGGGCTCTGGACACTTCCCAGCAGGCAGGGAGCTGGAAGCACCACAGTGGTCACTGCACCATATGGCCGCAGGTGGACGCAACTTGTGGGCTCTGGGAGAAACCCCTCTCACTGGCTGCGGCCCCATCCCCAGGTACTACTTCAAGAAGGTGAGCGACGAGTTCGACTGCGGGGTGGTGTTTGAGGAGGTTCGAGAGGACGCGGCTGTCCTGCCCATCTTTGAGGAGAAGATCATTGGCAAGGTGGAGAAGGTGGACTGACATGAGGCCAGCATAGCACAGCTTCGGAGCCTGGGGTCGCGGGGAGTACCCAGCAGTGCCCTTGGTACCTCAGAGCAGTCCCAAGGCTGGTCTGTCCTGCCCAGGAGAGGGAGGCCCACCATAGCAATAGCAGAGTCCCCGAGCCAGGCTACCTGCCTGGAGCTGCAGGAGACCCCAGCAGCCCCTGCTGCCCACCTCGCAACCCGCAGGCCTCACTGGTCCCGAACGCCAGTGTCACTGCTCCCCCTGGACTTGCCCCGGCACCCGGTCAGGCCCAGGCTGGGTGCAGGGGCCCCTGCAGATTGTACTTGTCACTGAGTGCCTTCAACATGCCCTCTCTCGCCTGTCACTGTGTGAATCCCGCAATGAGCACTGTGGGGCCTGTCTCTGGCTGCCAGCTCAGCGGGTGGGGACCCTCCTTTCTAAGGGCCCATGTAAATATGTACATTTCTCAGGCCAGGGCCAGCAGGGGGCTGACCCAGCCGTTTTCCATGCAATGACTTGTACAATGATCTTTTCAAGGTACTTGGATAGTAATGAAATAAAAGTTTTTGGAGCTGCCTTGGCTGTGGAGTGACTGATTACAGCTGATGGGCCCAGCTGAGCCCTGCCATCCTCAGACCCATCAGTGAAGGTCATGGTGGAGGGGGGCACTGCAGGCAATGGCTGCAGAAAGGCCCCACATGGTGCAGCGGGCCCAGGAGGCTGAGGCTGGCCACGGCCGTGCTGCCAGCCTTGCCAGGAACCACACACTCAGTCCAGGAGCAAAGCTCTTTATTCAYGGAGCACAGCTTCTCCAGCCAGGATCACCTGCCACTTGCAGTTGGCAGTGATGTGGTGGCTACAGCTCCTCCCGGGGCCCCACACTGGAATTGGCTAGTGGCTCCTAGAAAGGGTCACAGAGGCCCAGCTGAGCTCTGCCCTCAGCCCACCCCAAGTCCTGTCAGCCCCGCCTGGAGGTGACCTGCCCAGGGCTTAGAACCCTGGATGGGGTGCATACCTGGAAGGGGGCTGTGGGTGCCTCTGCTGGCAGCTCACCCCCACTGTCCAGGAACTTGGAAAAGCTCTCCAGGTCCCTGTTGCCCTTGTATTCCATCATCTGGGGAAGAATGGGAAGCTAAAGGCCTGCCTCAGCCCGGAGCCAGGTCTGGCTGCCCCAGCCCCAGCCCTAGTTCCTCACCTTCCGATCCCGCCCTGCGGGGAAGTACAGGAGCCTGGGGAAGCCAGACACAGTGAAGGCCTCCAGCTCATTAGCCGTAGCGTCCAGCTCAGCAATGATGATGTCTTCGTGGTCCCTGTACTTCTCAGCTAGTGCCTCCCAGGCCGGGGCCATCTCCTTGCAGTGGCTGCACCATGGGGCATCTGTGAGGTATCATACTTGGTTAGCTGGGTCCCCGCATACCCACCCACCCACCCACCAGCCTCAGTACTCACAGAACTTGACAAAGACATTCTTGGTTTCGTCGAAAGCCACCTGCTCAAAATTCTTGCCCACAAGGGTCTTGACGGGCCGCTGGTCCCAGTCAGGGGGGACCTCTTGGCTTAGCAGGTAGGGCTGTGGGCCAGGCCAGGAGCTCTGGTGTTGTGTGGGGAAGGACCCCAGGAGTGGCTGTGCCCTCCCTGCCCCACCCTGTGGCGCTAGCCAGCTCACCTTGAGTTTCCCACTGAAGACCATCTGGCAGAAGGCTGCCACGGAGGCTGAGGTGATAGGCCCCCCTCCAGGGGGTGCATACTTCTTAGTGGTCTCAATGTTAACCAAGCGCAGGGTGGGGGCCTCCTCAGCCTTGAGACCAAAGTACTGCAGTACGTGGTCATTGCTGGCATCCACGTCCACCACCACAAACAGCACCTGCCAGCAGAGAGTCCAAGCTGGGCATCTTGCCACCATGTCACCCCTTCCTCCTGGTCCCCCAGTACCTGCCCCCTGAGCGGGGGAGCCGCCTCCCGGAAGCCCTCCAGGAGCTCCCTATGTGAAGCCAGCGTCTGGTTGACAAACAGCAGCAGGTGGTTGAGGATCCTGGCGCTGAAGATCCTCCGGGAGGTCTGTGGAATGGTTTCCTGTGACTCCCAGGGCCCATCCAGCCAGCTCTGCACCCTCAGGCAGCTGAGCTTACCTGGTTGCTGTACTCCGTCACCAGGAGCATGCTGTGTGTAATGAGGAAGCGGGACAGGTCCCCCAGGTCCAGACCCAGCTCCTCGTCCACTGGGAAGTCAGCCCGTCCTTCATCGAACTAGACACCAGGAGGGTCACCTAGGGCCATAGCCCTAGCCCTGACCCCTGCCTCAGCACAACTCACCTTCTTGAAGAGGACCACAGTGTCCTTGGTGAGGCCAAACTTCTGAAACAGCTTTGGCTGGTCAGTGAAGCCAAACGTCATGTCCAGGGCATCACGGGCCAGGGCCAGGAAGGTGGCCACATCCTCATCCTCCAAGTCCTACAGGCCCAGCTCTTGTGAGGCTGGCAGGTACCACTACTGCTGCCCCCGTGGCCTGGCCCCCAGCCCAGCCTACCTGGAAGAAGCCGATGACAACCACGTCCCCGGCATCCATCAGTGCCTGTGCACCCTCTTCATCCTCCAGCCGGGTGGCACTGGACCCCACCCGCCGCTTTAGCCACTCAACGATGCCCTTGGCCTCTCGGGGGCCTGTGGAGTGTGCCCTCAGTCTATGCAGGCCCGAGCCCACCCCACCCCAGGCTGTGCCTACCCCACACCTGTGTACTCCTCGGGGTGCGTCCGATTCCCATCACGGAAGAACTTGAGCGTGGGGTACCCTGTCACACCAAACTCCTCCGTCAGCTCCTGCTCCGCAGGCCCATCCACCTTGGCTAGCGTGGCCGTGACCGACTCAGCTGCTAGCAAGGCAGCCGCCTTGCTGTATTCAGGGGCCAGCGCCTTGCAGTGCCCACACCACGGGGCGACTGGGGGATGAGGCCATGAGTGCCAGGCCTGCACGGCCACAGCCCCTCCCTGCAGATCCCGAGGGAGCAGGGGTGTGCTGTGCACACTCTCCTTAGGCCCCACCCAAGCCTGGGCCATGGCAGGGCTGAGATCAGGAGTCAGATTCTCCAGGCCCCCAAGCTTGGGGCACAAGGGACAACAAGGTGTGGCTGGGGTTCCTGGGACACACATGGCTGCCTCCTGAGGCTGCCGTGAGGACGGATTTGACATTTATTTATTAGGGTGTCCACAGACCCAGATCCCCATGCTTTTGTAGAGAGCCTGCAGAAAGACCCACACCAGCAGCTTGGAGAAGTGGCCATGGGGCAGGACGTCAGCCYGAGGGCACTGATGGCCAAACAGGGTGTTCTCATGTCCCCTGGGCCTCCCCGCATAACCACCAGCCCTCCACACTCCATCCCAGAGCTCCCTGCCCTAGGGTGCTCCTAGGAAGCTGGAGTGCTGGGCACAGTGCCTCTGGGAAGATCCCCCAGTCCACAGGGCTGGGGCTGGAGACCCTGGGTAGTCCCTGTGGCCCCCCACCCACTGGCCCAAACACTCACAGAACTCCACTAGCAGGGCTGGGTACTCCTGCAGGGCCAGGCCCAGGGTGTGGTGGTCCAACACCAAGACCCCATCCTCCTTGGGGACCTCCTCCCCAGGGGTATCCTCCAGGAGATCCTCTGAGGGTCTCTCAGGTCCCTGTCCCTGTCCCTGTAGGCCTGAGGCCCCCAGYAGGAACAGCAGCAGCACAGGCAGAAGCTGGCCGTCCATGGCAGTGCCGGGCCCCGGAGGCTGGGGTAGATAAGGGGACTGGGGACCAAGCAGCAATCGCCACGTAGCACCTGGGCCCTTTCTCAGGGACGATAAAGCTTGAGAGCACCCCCTTGAGGGAGGGGGAGGCAGAAAGAGGCCACACGGAGGGCAGCGAGACGACATTTAATGGGGCATGGCGCCAGGCGGGATGCAGGGCGGAGAGAGGGCAGGGTCTGGTCACTGACCAGGGGCCAGGGAAAGCTTGGGGTCCCTTGCAGCAGTGGACAGAGGTGGGAACAAGGGCCAGAGCCAGGATTCAGCCCTTCCAGTCCTGGCAGACGCGGAGGCCCCACTCCCAGGACAGGTGGGCTGTCTTGTCGTCGTCTGTGAAAAGGGACCTGACAACGTAGGGGCCCCGCACCAGTGCGCCCCTCGGAGCCTCCTCCACTGGAGTCACGAACTCGTACTCCTGAGCCCTGGGGCCATAACTGCCTACCATGTAGACAGCCCTGTCCACTGAGAGAGGGACAGGATGTCAGGGCTGCCCTCCACCTGCCCCACCTTACCCCCACCCGGCCCTCCACACTGCCCTCACCGCGCAGGCCCCTGCGGAAGGTGTGGTGCACACACTTGAGGCCACTGACGATGTCCTTGTTGACCTGTGGGACAGACGGCGTTAAAGGTTCCTCTGGGGCCAGGGCACTGGCCGGCCGGTGCCCCCCACCGCAGCTGCCCTCACCTTGAAGGTAACCTTCACCTGGTAATCAACACCCTCCTTCAGGACGAACGCCTGGCTTTTCAGCGCAGCCAGGTCCCCTGGGAGGGAAATGGCAGGTAAGCTCTAACTCCAGGGCAGGAGCCCCACGTGGGGTGTGGTGCCCTCAGGGTTTCAGGATGGGCCCWGGGACTTGGGATGGGGCACAGGGGTCCTAAGAGGTCTCTGCTCCAGAGACAAATGGTGGCGGTCTGCAGAGGCATTACCTGTGAGGTCCATGGTGATGGGCCCTGGAGCTTGCTCCGAAATCAGCGTCAGCCTGGTCACCTGCACGTTAGGCAGGCTGGGATCTGAGGAGGAGCAATGTCCATAGCATGCCCTGCTGCTCCCCACCCAGGCACAGCCCTCTAGGCCCAGGTTCCAAGCCCATACCCACTACAGGTGGCAGAGTTCCCAGCAGTGCTCTCTTGTACTGGGTGAGGCTCTCGTCCTCAGGGTCCAGCTGCCGGATCTCCAGGGCGCTCTTCTTCCCAGGTGCCTGATACTCTGGCACAGCGTCGTCCAGTGCCTCCTCCAGTGGTGTTGGCCCCCCATCCTTGTCAGCCAGGAGAACTGGGAGTTGGAGAAGGCATATGAGGTGCTGCCCCCAGCTGACCCTGGCACTGGAGCACCCRGCTGGAGCACCCCCACCTGGCCAGCTGTGCCTCCCACTGCCCAAAGGACTAGGAAGGAGGCAGGTGGTGGAGCTCAGAGGGAGGGTGAACCAGGGAGAGCAGTGAGAGGGCTCCCAGGGCATAGGCAGCATCCCACCTGCCTCTCCCACAAGAGCCCTGGTGGCTGGCGGAGGCTCCCAAGGCACCTGGTCAAGGGGCATCCTTGGGGCGCCAACTTGCTTCTGGCCAGATGTCCATTCAGGGGCCCTCCCTGACTATGAGGCCAAACGTGGAGGAATGATGACCCCAAGTGGAGAATCACGGGGCTGGGACTACTGCTAGAGTGGTGGCCCCGGGGCCCTCCAGGGGTCCCTACCTCTGGGCCCTTCCCATAATGCTCTAGCCCCCACCCATGGAGCCTCCAGACTAGGGTTCTCTGGAGCCCCAGCCCCACCTAGGGGAGAGACCCGTGCCTCCCTGACTTCACACGCGCGCGACCCTGAGCTTCCTTCCCCTTGCTGGTAGCTGGGAATCAAGCCCCCACCCCCGCTGGAGTCAGGCCGGGGCAACGCCAGGAGGTCCCCACGCGCCCCCAAAGTTGCCGCCGGGAAGGCCCACCGCCCACGTGGCCGCCACCCGACCGGCCAGCCGCTCACCTCGGGCGCAAAGCGCCAGCCGGAGCAGTTCCAGCAGCTGCGCCCCCAGCTCGCACGCGTCCAGGCCCAGCATGGTGGCGCGCGGCCCGACGCGGAGCCGCCGCCCGGCTCGGCTCAGCCCCGGCGCGACTGCGGTGAGCTCATCCCGGCCGGGAGCGCCCCCCGCGCCCAGCGCCGCGCCCGCGCCGCGCGCCCCCAGCCGCTCCGCGGACCCCGCGCAGCCCGCAGAGACGCGCGTGTCGCCCGCACGGCGCCGGCACCCGGCCGTCCCCGCCGCCGCCGCCGCGGCCCGCCCCGCCCTGCGGCGCCCGCAGGAGCCGGGGTCTCCCCGGAGCCCTCGGGCGGGGCTGGGGAAGTGCAGCAGGTGCGTTCCCCTCCCCCCTGTGTCCCCCGGCTCTCATTAGCTGCAGGCGGCCAGGCCACACCTGGGCCCAGCAGCCCTCCGCCGCCCCTCCCCTCCGCCCCCGCGCAGCGTCTGGGCGGCGGGGGACTCCCGGGGCCACCTAACTTGGGGCGGGGGCTGGCACGCAGCCTAAGGGGACCTCGGCAGGCTGGTCTGAGCACCCTGAAGCTCAGTCTAGGCCACAAACACTAAAGGATGTGCCCGCAGGGCTGGTTTTTATCTGTAAGGGCCTGGGGACCCAGATAATTCCGGAGGTCCTGCCCTCTGGGACAGAACCATGAAGAAAATAGAAGGCGAGATGAGGGGAAAGCCAGGGTTTCTTGACACCTGAGAGCTGTGGATGGGTGTTGGGGGTCAGCCAGGGCAGGTGAGGGATGAGCAGACCCTCGGCAGGAGACAGACCAAAGGCTGGGTCTGAATAAAGGGGGTTGCCCAACACCAGATTGAGCCCCCTTTCTTAGACACCTCTACCCCATCCCCATTTCTGGGGACACCCAGGAATCAGACCAGAGCCCCACTGTCTGAGCAAGAGGCCAGCCCTCTGTGCACTCTGGCTGGGTCTTCACCTGGCCAGTCTTTCCAAAACAGAATCCTGCAAAGGGGCCCTGGAGACCCACCCCTGCTGCCCTTTTCTGAAGGACTGGAAGTATTAGGTCACTTGTCTCCAGGGGACAGCTCCAGCTCCTGGTGGCCTATAGCATCCAGATGTTCACTCAGTCTCAAAGCCAGCCTGACACACACCCCACCCTGTCCCCCGCCCACAAACAGTGTGTATGGGAGTGGGGAATGGGTGACCTGGGATCTAAGAGGAAGAGTTCCTGCCTATGAAGGTGCCCCCTCCAGCCCCCAGCTCCACTGCCCCATGTCATTCTGGACCTGCACTTCCAGCACTGGTAATGGATTCAGGTGGCCATGTTTGGATGCTCCTGGCCCAAGGCCACCCTACCCACCTCCCTCCATCTGACCTCTGGCGCAGGGAGGATAAATATAACATATAGCATTTCTACTTCTTATAAAGGGCTTCCTAATGGGGCCTGGAGGGCCTGGGCATATCTCAGAAGGGGATGGCCAAGCTGCTGGAGAAGGGACAGAAAGTGCCTGGACCCTGGGAATCTGGGTGAATCTGGGTAGGGGGTGTTGAGACCTCCCTTCTCCAGTAAACCCCTTTCTATAGTTCCAGGGCACCCTGGCTAGGATCTCTGCCTGTTCACCTGCTGTCCCACCCAATCCCCTGTGTAGTTAAGGGGATGTGGCCATTCCCCACTCTTCTCCCCAGTCTCTAAGGACCCCTGTTCAGGAACCCACGGTGTCACACACTCCCAGCAACCTCAACCACAGGACAACTCTGACACAGGGAAAAGCCAATACAGCTCCCATAGTGCTGGGAACCACTCGGACCAGCTCATGATCATGGTCAGGGTCACACCAACCTGTGGCACCCACACAGGTCATGTGCGGTGGGTGCCGTGGTTTGCAGAGAAAAACACTCGTCAGGMTATCAGAGACCCTTCTGACCCCACAGCAGTGACTGCTTTGGGGGACACACACTGGCAGCCTGGGACTACCGCAGGCCAGGAACCCTTGTTCCTCTCAGGCCCCTCCCCTGGTGAGCCTCTATTTGCTGGTTCCGCTCCAGGTCCGAGTCCACGTCCCGTGGAAGGTGCGCCTCGCCCCACCTCCCCAGGCTCAGGCCAGGCCAGACCTGGGAGGGCATCCCTGGGTCCCTGTCGCCCCTGTCACTGCCCTGCGCTGCAGGCTCTCCAACACAGGCTGGGCGGCCGGCCTCTGCCCGAGGCCCCAAGGGTTAACCCAGGCGGGAGGGGCGGGGCCGCTCGGACGTCCACCGCTTAGGCATGGCCGCTAGCCCAGCGCCCCGCGGCGGGCGCCCCCGCGCGCAGAAGCCGCACCTCCGCAAGGTGGGCCTATCAGCCCCTAGGGTCCCGGGGGGGGGGGGATGGGGGACGCGCAGGGGCTGGCCTCGCCCGCTCTAGGAGCCGGGTCCAGGGGCGCCGCCGAGACGCCCCTCACGGCTCCCTCGCCCAGATGGAGCGGATGGTTGTGAGGATGCAGGACCCTGACCAGGGCGTACGGACGCGGAGCCAGCGTCTGCTCATCACTGTCATCCCGCACGCGGTGACGGGTGAGGCGCGGTGAGGGCCCTGCGGGGGTGGGGGTGGGCAGGGAGCCAGGCCTGCGCCCACCCAGCCTCTCCCGTGCAGGCGGCGACGTCTTGGAGTGGCTGGTCCGGAAGTTGTGCATCTCGGAGGAGGGTGAGGGTCGGCCAGCCCAGGGGCTGGGGAGGGCGGGCCGGGAGGAGCACTCACTCACCCCCCCGCAGAGGCTCTACACCTGGGCAGCCTGCTGGCGCAGCACGGCTACATATACCCGCTGCGCGAGCCCCGCAGCCTGGCGCTCCAGCCGGATGAGACGCCCTACAGGTTCCAGGTCAGGCCTTGCACCCTAGCGACCCTGCCTGCCCCGCCGCCTGTCAGGGGGACTCCGGAGGGGACTCGGGAGGAGGGGCCTGCTAGCGCTGGAGGGGGGTGTGGTGAAGTCACCGCTGGCGATACACCGCCCCCTCCCCAGGAGGCTAGGATTGGAAGTGTCCCTGTGATAGTGACCAAGTTAAGGGGTGGGGGTTTCAGTTTCCTGGGGCCACTCCAAGACCCCCATAAAAAGGCATTACCTGCGGAGAACTCTGCCAGCTGCCTGCAGGGTATGTCCTTAAGCCTCCACCCCTGAAGAAGGAGGCTGTGTTGGGGTGAAGACAGGATACCTGCACCTCAACGTGTTATTCAAACATGATGGAGCCCCCTTCCTGCCCTTCCCAATCACATCCAAGAATCAGACAACCCTAAGCTCGGATGTGACTACATCCGGGACTTGGGCAGGCCCCCACCCCTACCCTATCAGGGCTGGGGGAGGCAATCTGTGCGCAAAACTCTAAAGCATGAGTGGACTCAGTTCAAGTGGTAAGAATGGAGAGTGGTCCACTAAGCTCTTGGAGGTGGGCAGATGGCCAGTGGTCTCCTGGACGGGAGCTGTGAGGGTGAGGGCAGTATATGGGTGGTAGGGCTCAGGAGGTGCCTTACATCATTACCCCACAACATGGCTAGACTCCCTACTTCTGGACCAGCACTCTGTGGCCAGCTGCTGAGTTGGACTATGGTGAGTGTGGAGGACCTGGGGCTAGCACCGGGCCAGCTCCCAGGATTGGGCAGAGCTTGTCTCTCTGCAGCCTGTTCCCTGTCTTTCCAGCCATCTACTTGACCAAGAAGAACATACAAAGGCAGGGAGCCCTGGTCACCCATGAGAAGGTGAGGCCCAGCAGGCTGAGTCTAGCAGGAAGAACCCAAGCCTCATAGTCTGCCCCAGAGTGTGCAGCGCAGTCTTTGAGACAGTCCATACCCGCTTTGCTCTTGCTGGGCAGGCCCCCACCCCACCCACCCTGAAGGGGCAGCTAAATGCTCCCAGAGCCAGAGAGACAGCCCCTGCACAGGGCCTCAGGGGAGGGCTGGCCTCCATTCCAGGTGGAAAGATCACACACACACACACGCATCACTCGCTCCCTCACTCTCACTGAAGAGGTGGGGTCCATGTTCCAGAATTGGGTATGCAAGGGGTCACCCACTGGAGACCTCATGTCCCCAGGAGCACTATGACCAGTTGCATAAGAAGATCAACCACACCTGGGACCTGGTAGTGATGCAGGCTCGGGAACAGCTACGGTGAGTCCTGTCCCTGTCTATGCCCATACCCAGTGACAACAAGCCTGGCAGTCCTAGAACCAGAAAACATCCCAGGCTCCAGGTCCTGAGCAGAGTGGGAAGGGGGGACTCTGCTTAACCTCCCCCTTCCTCCAGGGCAGCTAAGCAGCGCAGGAAAGGGGACAGGCTGGTCATTGCATGCCAGGAGCAGACATACTGGCTGGTGAACAGACCCCCGGTGAGTCCCTGGGACATGAGGGGGTGGGTTTGTTGGGCACACATGGGGTCTGCCTGCATCCTTGGAACCTTTCCTGAAACTCTGACTTGAGCCTGTAGGAATGACATGCCCTTCCTGGTTCTGGTGGGTGACAGGAAGCTGTCATTCTGTGATTCAGTTGAGAACCCAGAGGTGACACACTCAGGACTGTGGCTGCATGCACCCCCAGACCACAGGACCAGTCAGATCCTCTCCTGGTCTAAGGGAGGGCTATAGGGGAACCTTGGGGGACTGAGGCCTTTGTGGGGGCCAGGAGGAGCTACAACAGAACTGAGCTTTGGGGTGCTACCTGGGACCCGGCCTTCCCCAGACTCAGGTCCAGCAGGTGATTCAAGGCCCACTCTATCTGGGGAACCATTCTTAGGGGTGGGAGTGAGTAGAGGATGGAGCTCAGGATCAGGCCAGGCTTGGTTGCTTGCTCATCAGTTTCCACATTAAATGATGAAGAGCTTCAGAATTGGAGTCCCTAGGGGTAGGGACCTAACACCCCAACTTACCTTCCTTCTTGCAGCCTGGGGTCCCCAATGTGCTGGAGCAGGGCCCAGAGAGGGGCTCCAACAATGCCAATCAGGTGCAGATGGTAAGCGTCTGCACATACAYCTGTCCTGGCACACACACCTGCCCTGGCCTACCTGCCCATGGCTCATCCCACCACCCACCATGGGACAGCTTGGGCTGTGCTCCATCCTCCTGTCCCCCTTCTGTCCTTTAGTCCACACAA